TTACCATATACTCACAGTAATAATCAGTGTGATGAGTACTAACGTCAGTGCTAAAATGCTTAACATCAAAATATTGCTGACATAAGACATATATTTGTTAATAATCTCGAAGAAAAACATAGATGAACCTTAAAATATTCACTCCTCTACCGCAGGTCACAATTTCAGTCAGCTCAACTGTGCACGGAAGGTCAACTAAAATTTTATACTAAAACTCTTTTCCCAGGGGCTCCTGGGTGGCTCAGTGGGCTAAAGCCTTTGCCTTTAGCTCGGGTCATGGTCCCAGGGTCCTGGGATGGAGCCCCGCATCGGGCTCTCTGCTCGGCAGGGACCTGCTTCCTCCTCTCTCTGCTTACTTGCGATCTCTGTCTGTCAAATAAATAAAATCTTAAAAAAAAAAAAAAATTCTTTTCTCAAACCTCAACCAATTAGGAAAACACTGTGAACTAATAAGAAGTGCCTAATATTACATAAAGGGTAAACAAGAATATTATATAAGAAGTGAACAGGCACAAGTCTGACCAATAACAGCTATAAATAAATATGCTAAAGTTAAATGTCCTGGGGATATAAGGCAACATTATTTAGGATTAGTAAACTGCTCACTTAAAAATACACAGAATCGGGGCGCCTGGGTGGCTCAGTGGGTTAAGCCTCTGCCTTCGGCTCAGGTCATGATCTCAGGGTCCTGGGATCGAGCCCCGCATCGGGCTCTCTGCTCAGCAGGGAGCCTGCTTCTCCCTCTCTCTCTGCCTGCCTCTCTGCCTGCTCATAATCTCTCTCTGTCAAATAAATGAATAAAATCTTAAAAAAAAAAAGCAAAACACAGAATCTAAGAAACTTTGGAATAAGAAAAATTCCTTTGTGTTACACCAGACAAAATCATTCTTAGGGCGTAACAACCTCCATGGCTCGTCCAAATCCAGCCTAGACTCCAGGATTAAACAAGAGAACAAGGTCTTCAAAAACATCTACAAAAACAGGCTGATTTTGAAATCTACTGTGACTGTTTTGATGCAGGCCAATGTGAGAATTTAAATACATTTGAATCTAACCTCAAAGAATATCTGGACTCCTGAGCGTTGACAGGGCCAAAGCTAAAGCAGGTCAGTACGCCCTGCCAAAGAACATCTTGCTCCGAGGTATCCACAAACCAGGATCATTTATCAGTGTATTCTTCACTGCGTCGAGTGCCAACCACTCTCAAGATATATCCAAGGGTAGATTGTCTAGCCTCCCCCAGAATTCCATTTTGAACCCCAAGATCTAGAGACAAAAAAATGGTGCAGAATTCTAAATGGTTTATGGCCTTAAAAAATTATAAATGGAGAATTTCAAATGTTAGCTGACCCAACTTGAGCATCCCTGAATGTTACTAAAGCATTTTTAAATTTCCATGAAGTATTTCACAGGCACAATTTAGCAACAGTCTACATAGCAAATTAAAGCCATGAAATGATTACAGTAATACAACAAATCTGTCCTATGTAAATGGTATGAGTTTCTAGATCAACCGCATTTAAATTTACTAAAAGCAAAAATAAGTGTTTCATTTGTAATTCACATGAATAAATACTTTCTCAAACTTAGAAATGAGGGGGCGCCTGGGTGGCTCAGTTGGTTAAAGCCTCTGCCTTGGGCTTGGGTCATGATCTCAGGGTCCTGGGATCGAGGCCCGCATCGGGCTCTCTGCTCAGCGGGGAGCCTGCTTCCCCCTTCTCTCTCTGCCTGTCTCTCTGCCTACCTGTGATCTCTGTCAAATAAATAAATAAAATCTTAAAAAAAAAAACAACTTAGAAGTGAGTATTTGGCAGTGTATAAATAATGTTAATAGAAAGATATTAGGGCTAAAGGCAAGTACGGCATTACAAAGCACAGCTGCTGATCAAAACAAGGAAATCCGTCAACATAGGAAAGGCTTCAAAGTTAAACCTTGAGACACATGGTGGCAGTAGTAAAGCATCTAATTTGTCCACAAGACCTGGGTTTGAGTAAGCTCTTTTACCTATTAATTATGTGGCCTTTTTGCTAGTGACATAGCTTCTCCTAGCCTCAGATTCTTCATATATAAAGTGAGAACAATACCACCAATATTATAGCCTAAATAGGAGAATTAAACGTGAATGTTTTTACTCATTCAACAAAGATGCTTTGAAAAACTGTTAATTTTTTAGGTAGAAAAAACTCAAATTCTTCAAATTAATCATATATATTAACTTTTAATATTACCAAGAAAATGCAAATCTAGTTCTTAAGCTATGGTTCCAAAACCTTTCAAGGAAATTCTTAAATATTACTTGAGAAACTGAAATTATCAGAATAAACACTGATAAAATATGACGATGCAGGGATATCTTAAGAGTTTTGACACCTATTAAAACCAGAAGTCTCTAAAAGGTTTTTCAACATTAAAAAGAAATAGGGACCCAGACCCAAACCATAAATTGTTAACACCCAATTTCAAATACAAAACTTTAACATTTAAAAATCTTTTGTTTGGGGACCCCTGGGTGGCCCAGTTGGCTACCTGTCTGCCTTTGGCTCATCACAATCCCAGTGTCCTAAGATCACCTCCCCACATCAGACTCCCTGCTCAGTCAGGAGTCTGCATCTCTCTCTGCCTGCCTGTCCCCACAATGCTCGTGTGCACTCCCGATCTCTCTCTCTCTCTGACAAATAAAATGTTTAAAAATAAAAAATCTTTTGTTTTTCAGAAAAATGTTATTAAGTATGAGGCAAATTAGTCCTTCACACAACAAGAAGAGATTTTTTTTTCATAACAAAGCAAACTAACCACTTAAGATTCTCAAACTTGTACATTCTAATAGGTTTAGGGTCACACATAAATATAAGCATCATTACAAGCTAGACTCTACGTGCACTTTGTGCTGACCCAAGAAAATTAAGCGTTAAAAAAATTATGGGGGGCACCTGGGTGGCTCAGTGGGTTGAAGCCTCTGCCTTCGGCTCAGGTCATGATCCCGGGGTCCTGGGATCGAGCCCCGCATCGGGCTCTCTGCTCGGCGGGGAGCCTGCTTCCCCCTCTTTCTCTGCCTGCCTCTCTGCCTACTTGTGATCTCTGTCAAATAAATAAATAAAATCTTTAAAAAAAAAAAAAAAAAAATTATGGGTTTCAGCACTTCAAAAAAAAGGTGTCCTTTCTGAAAATTACTCCCTGAAAATTCACATTTGCTGAAGCCATGTCAAAGTTGTTCTTTCCCCATCACTTTAAAGTCAAAACATCTACATTATTTATGCTAGGCATAAAATGAAAGTTATTTATATTTTTCTACTTTACTTCAACCCTAAACAACAATAAGATACTTCAACCTCCATGTTTGTTTGATTGCTAATGTATTTACTGTCAATTCTCCTGAAAGAATTAAGGACTAGCTTCACTCATTAAATTTCACATAACCTAAAAATGCTTTGAATTACAACACAGACAATTCTAAATAGAAATTTACCCTAAAAATGGATAAAAGATATTAACTGGCATCTTCTCTGCACAGATCAATCTTCCTTTTAAGAACGCAAACTAGGTGGACCTCGCAACTGAACATTAATAGTAGAAAGCAATCTTCCTGGATGCATCCAAATAATTTTAATATAAATTTCTGCACACCTGGGTAGAAACTGGAATAGAAATAACTTGAATCACCCCCCCAGGCACCCCCCCCACCTGGAAATGCACAAGGTAGATGTCTCAAAAAATTAAATTTAGGTGTTGTCGCAGTTAACTGTTGAAGTTACAGGCACCACTGCCGGAGGGCAAATGCAATAAAGAGCTGGCCCTCCAAAAGCCTAAACCCTCAAAAGAGAACAGTGGTTTCTAGTTTTTGAAAGTTACAAAAAAAAGTCTTGAAATCTTATTAAAATCTGCTTTAGAAACCACATCTCAAACTCAAAGGAAAGGTTAAGTCTTAGAACAAATTACTGAAAGGCAAAAATTAGAACAGGAGACGAGAGACAAGAAGTTCTAGACTGGAGAAGAACCACTTCTCTCCTGAAGAAATGCTTCGTTAGGTCCATTCTGGGCTAATGTTGTTGTTGCTTCTTATGCGACACATTAATAATTCAAAACGGTTCGTTTGAAGAAAAGTTCTATTCAAACATTACCATTTGTCTTCGCGTTGCCAGTTAGTGGCTTTGTTTCCAGTTTCATGGACTATTCTGGGATGTCAAGAGTTATATTATTACTGCTCCAAAAGAGCCCTTGTTTCACTCTCACCCGGGACGTGGTCATAACTGATGTTTAGAGGGTACTGAAGCCAAGAGATGTTTTAAGAACATCCCTTGGCCCTCCATCCCTCCCCAGCCCTTATCGATAATCGCGCTTTACCTCGCAGGTTTCTTGCTGTTGCACGTAAATTTTTTTAAAAAGACACCCGCATACACGATTCCCCTATCGCCATCAGGAAGAAAGAAGACCATCTGGCCCGATCTCCAGGAGCTTCGCGGAAACAGACACCGTGAAACCCACAGGGTCGAGGAAGGGGAGCGCTCAAGGGGTCAGGGAAGGGAGCAGCCCCGAGTGCAGGGACGCGGAGGCGGTGCCAGTTTACAGACGCCTTCACCTCCCCACCCCCACAGACCGGGGGGGTCCAAAAAGCATTTCCTGCGCGAACTCTCCGCCCGCCGAGGCCCTCGGAGTAACCGCCGAGCTGGGCGACCTTTTGGCCCCCTCCCTCCGGCCGAAGTCTCCAGCGCCCTCCCCTCGGCCGGGGCGGCGTCCGCACCTCCCCACGGCCTACCCACTCCGCAAGGCCCTCGCGGCCGCGCTCGGAGGCCTGAGGCCTAAGGACGCCGGGCGCTGACAAGCCCCGCCGCCGCCGGCTGGGCAGAGGCCGGGGGGTGGGGTGGGGGGGCGGCGGCCGCTACCGCCGAGGGGCGGAGGGCGGGCGAGGACGGCCTCTCCCCCGCCGCGGCTGCCTATTGTTCCTGACGGAGGCCGGGCGGCTGCCCCGCGCTCCCCTCGCCGCCGCCCGCCGCTCGCTCACCGCGCTGGTCCGAGCAGCAGCTCCTCTCAGCTCCGAGTCCCCGCGGCCGTCGCCACTGCCGCGGCAGCCGTCGCCGCCGCCGCCGCCACCGTCGACTCTGACTCTGTCCCAGGCCGCCGGGCCACGGCCGCCGTCGCCACAGCCAGCGCCGCCTCCGGCCTCCCACCTGCTGCTGCCGAGGCTGCTCCTGCAGCAGGGGCCATCTTGTTGGTCGGCCTCCTCTTCCTCCACCTCCTCCTCCGCCCCGTCGCTCGTTGTCCTCGTCCCCTTCCTCTTCCTCGGGCTCCGACCCGCCCCGGAGACTGGGGCGGGGACGAGGGCGAGGCCCCTCCTTCGGGGGGGCGGGGCGCGCGGAGAGGAGGGACGGAGGGAGGGAGGGAGGGAAAGAAGGGGATGGGGGGCGGGGCGGGCGCGGGAGGAAAGCTCTGAGTCACCCGCAGCCAACGCCCGGGAGGGAGGCCCGCGACGCTCCCCGCCAACCCCCGGGGCGCACCCACACCCGGAGCCGCCGAACTGGTCCAGCCGTCCGCCGGCCCTCCCCCACCTGCGCCTCTGCGCCCAGCGGCGAGCGGCCAGACAGACGGCGAGGGAGGATTGGGAAATTTCTGACGTTTCCATCGAACCCCGCACTCGCTCGTCCCTAGGCTTTCTCAGCTCCGGTCCCTCTACTCCGGTTCCTTTTCACATTCCCCCCTCCCCCAAGAGAATTTGTTCTTATCTCGTGTTGTCCGCGTTCTGGGTCCCACCAGGTTGGCCCTGGACACCGCTCTCACCGACTCCCAAAGAGAGTTCAGCTTCCCCGCGCGGCGAGGCCGCCCGAGGGCCTGGACACTCACTGCCCCCAAACGTCTCCTGAGGCCCAAGTGGACGCTGAGAGCTGTCTGGGCCGGGGGGACGGAAAGATTCGGCCGGTGGAAGAGTTCCCGGATCTCAAAGCTAACCTTGCGGTGACAAAGTTTCTTCTCCCTTATGGAAAAGAAGCCATTTTGATTTGGGGAAGCGGGAGACCCCTTCCAGACAAGCGTGCTTCACCGAACCCGTGCTTTGAAGGGAGAGAAACGGAATTCCTTTCGTATCACACAGTCCTAATTTCAAGATAAACCGTCCAGAGTAGAGGTGGTCCTCACATAAACACCCAGTTAGTACTCCTGCATTTCTTCCCTTTTTTTGCTTCAGGTCTTGGCCAAGAGAGCAGATACGCTTTCTTGTCCTTTCTTCACTGCAGACATCACCACGACCAAGAACAGTACTATATGTAGAGAAGCTCCTGCCTTTAAGTCAATAAATTCGATCGTTATAACAGTGTTTTATAATATTTGTAAAATACAGATCACACACCTTCCTAAACTCTGGGCGGCGGTCTTTTTCGTCGCTGTCACCCTCTTGCCACTCAGATTTCAGCTTCTTTTTAGAAGACCTATTGGTGCCCTCGTGTTGATTGGAGTTACTCCCTTTGAAGTGGGCCGAATCTGTAACCTTCCCCTCAACCTACTGAGTAGTAACCGCAATCCTACAACTAACTTCTAGCTATAACAGAGGGATTAGGTTAGTGTACGCTAATCTAAAGGATATCTATCTCTAGGATAGCCTTTTCTTCCCCAATGAAGCAGACCTCATTCCCCCGCTAGGAAAAACATTAATCTGTTCCTCCTGTTTTTCCTCCTCCTCCCTTCTTATCCCTCCTAGGGAACCTTCCACAACAGAAGGTTTTAGCGGCTGTTGCTAGGCAAACATGCCAACTTCCCTGTTTAGGTGAAGCAAATAACCCAACTTCCATTACAAGCAATCTAGATAATATGATTTCTTTAAACTATGAATAGTTGTACCTCAGTGGTAAATCCCTTTCAAGGTTATCTTATAAAATAGGATGCTAAAGTTAAATTTATTTTTATTTCATCAATATTTCAGTTAAATACAGGTTTAAAGCCAAGGGGCTTCCCAGAATTCACTTTAATAATATAATTAAACGGAAACATTTGGCAGAAAAAGGAGAAAAGCAGCTTTGAAAATTACTTCGGCGTTTACAATAAAAGCTAATCTATGAGAAACATTTACATGCTTTGAACTCCCCACTTAGGTAAATGTATAAATTACAGAGAATAATTTGTTCCTTGAGACTGTGCCTATTTAGAAGAAAGGTAATATGGTTATTTGGCAAGAAAAAAAATAGAGATTCTGGATTTTATTCCCAAATTAATAACCCGGTAAGAATTTTAGCTAGTGAGCTAAGACCTTTTTTTTTTCCCCCCTGATTTTGCTGTTTAAGATTTTTGCTTTTCAGGGTGTTGAGAGGTAATATAAATAAGATTTTAAAAGTTATGTTGAGGGGTGCATGGGTGGCTCAGTGCGTTGAAGCATCTGACTTAGGCTCAGGTCATGATCACAGGGTCCTGGGATAGAGCCCCACATGGGGCTCTCTGCTCAGCAGGGAACCTGCTTCCCTTCCCCCTCTCTCTGCCTGCCTCTCTGCCTACTTGTGATCTCTGTCAAATAAATAAATAAAACCTTTAAAAATTTAAAAAAAAAAAGTTATGTTGAAATTTATGTATATAGGGGCGCCTGGATGGCTCAGTGGGTTAAGCCTCTGCCTTCCACTCAGGTCATGTTCTCAGGGTCCTGGGATTGAGCCCAGCATTGGGCTCTCTGCTCGGCGGGGAGCCTACTTCCTTCCTCTCTCTCTCTGCCTGCTTCTCTGCCTACTTGTGATCTCTGTCAAATAAATAAATAAAATCTTTTTTTAAAAAAAGAAATTTATGTATATATACACATACACACATATGTATGTCTTTAAAGTTTCAAACACTTAAAATTGTATAATTTGTTTTAATTCAGCTATTTGTGTTAATCCAGTGAAATAGTGTTTGAGAACTTTCCTGAGCGAAGACAATACATCAAGACTGTACTACTAAAGACAAACAACTTATATGTTTTATAGTCATTTGTGCTTAGAAATCACTAATGTGTAGTTTTAACACAACTTAAGCAATTTAGTTTTATTTTGTATTTTATTATACAATTCTGTTTTAGAATGCCTAGAAATTTAGATGCTGCCCTGGCCTCCATCCTTGGTATACTATGAAAATTAAATGAGTCATTTCATGTAAAGGACTTCAAACAGTTTACGGCGCATAGGAAGTACTCAAATGATTTTTAAAAATTCCTTTTATGTTTATGTCATTATAGTCTTTAGTTTTTCATCAGTCAAATGAGGGTAACAAGTCATCAAATACATTTTTGCTCTTAGCATGAACTGTAAACAAAATTAATGCTAATTTTTATTTTTATTTTTTTAAGATTTTATTTATTTATTTGATAGAAAGTGCGCATGCACAAGCAGGAGGGAGAGGGAAAAACAGACTCCCCGCTGAGCAGGGAGCCGGAAGAGGAACTTGATCCTAGGACCCTGGGATCATGACCTGAGCTAAAGGCAGGCACTTAACTGACAGAGCCACCCAGGCACCTCAATGCTAGTTTTTCGATCACAAATCAGTTAAAATAATGCCTTATGAATTTTTTCAATGTATTTTCTGATATGCCTGTCCTCTTGTTCTTCCTTTAATTTTGTCTTTTTTTTTTTTTTTGAGACAAATTATGCAGCGTGATTAAACTAGCACATGCTTAAATAAAACTCTGGGATGTGTTACTGTCAACCTAAAGCTTTGTTTATTTTAAAACTAGAAAAGATTTTTAGATACCAACCAACTTATAGGAGAGACTAAGAACGTTTGGATAGATCAAATATCTACCCAATGCCTTCTTTATAGATAAATATTATAGTATTGAGGAAGAGGTTAGAGAGCGAGAAGGGCTATTCCATCCTACAAAGATGAATAAGTCATGTGTCCCTGCCTTAAAGAATTTCGAAAATCTAGTAAGAGCAATACAATAAAATACACGTATAAGCAACTAGAGTATAAAATAAACTGGGTCATAATTACACAGAAAGTATAAAGTTCTATGAAAGTTAAAGGAAAGAATTAGTAGAAATCATCACTCTAATGTCACAGAAACTACCTTTTGACAGGTAAAAATAACTATGTATGATATTAGATGTATACCCAGAGCCATAGAAATATAATAGCTATCAGTTCAGGGGAGGATGTGGATGAAGGATAAGGAATAGGAAACACAAGTGTGTGTGAATGGAGTTTAGATTAACTAAAAAACCTGGTTAATGTACTGCTAGAAGTTGAGACCTCTCCACTGTAAATGATTTATGTAGGGAGAGGGGGTGACATCCTCAAACACAGACACATGCACAAAATAACACTAGAGCTGTGTCACCTGGACTTTCTGGAGTGCTTTAGGTAAAGTAAGGGTGGGAGTCTGAGTGAGTCCTCTTCATTCTCCCCACCCAACCCTCTCTCATACATAGATTCTCCATAGCCTACCCTTTCCCCCAGCCAACAATCCTATCACCACTATTCATTAAGATAAATCTCTTAGAAAATAAATGAAGAGGAAGACATTCCAAGCAATTACACTAAGGAAATATGAAGAAACCAATAGTTTCTGACCTACCCTTCACCTTTAGAGATCAGTCCCAAAGCAGGCCCAAGTCAGCATCTGCAAACTAAACCCCAGGGGTTGCTTTAGATTTAGGGTAACAATCCAAAGTAATCATGGCAGATGTAGCCCAAGCCAGTTCTGGGGTTTGTGGAGATCGGTCTTTGTAGGCTTGATCCATAAAGAATTAAATAAACTGATGTTTCTGAGTCCCTCCTGAAATGGCTTCTGAACCTGTCAGCCAGCCCTCTTGCTCAACCTTAGCTAGATCCAAACAGTTAAAACCAGAAGCCGACCATACAGCTTAACTTGTGCTCTAACTAAAACCCCTTACGGTTATTTCTTATCACACTTTCTGGAGGCATTGATGAAGGCATTTTACAAGGACCCAGAACATCTCACCCATCCAACCAGAAAAGCCATGACGGCAATGGGAATGCCTAGAAGACCATGCCCCACATATGCCCTCATACCCCCTTCCCTGCCCATGATCCATGGGCTGAACACACACTGAACCCCACCAGTGACCGCATGCTCTTTGCCTGCTTTCTTGCACCCACTCCTCTGAACCTCTCTCCGTCAAACTCCAGATGTCCA